GAAGTCAAGGTCACGGGTTGAGGTCAGGGGTCAAATTGGATCTCCATAACTGTTGAATCGCTGATGATGAAAATTTCTCGCTCGAACCATCACTAGAGGAGGTGTGCTGTTAACCTCTTGAGTACCATGACTTCACCCTTGAGTACCATGACTTCCCTTAGTACCATGACTTCACCCTTGAGTACCATGACTTCACCCTTGAGTACCATGACTTCACCCTTGAGTACCATGACTTCACCCTTGAGTACCATGACTTCACCCTTGAGTACCATGACTTCACCCTTGAGTACCATGACTTCACCCTTGAGTCCATGACCTAACTTGACAGATTATAACATGACCTCCATTGACTTAACTTTGTAACTGATTAAAACTGAGACGAACCTAACTTTAAGGGGTCCTAACCTAACCTAACCTAACCTAACCTAACCTAACCTAACTGGGTATTAATTAACCTATCCTCCTCCTCTTCGCCCCCCCTCCTCCTCCTGCGTCTGTCACCGGCAGGACATTAGGCATGCAAGAAGCTCCCACAGCCTTTTTCTCTGTCAGAGCTGAGACCAGGCCACGGTTATCACCCTGCCATCACTCTCCCTTCCTCCCTATAGACCACGACGATCATCACTCACCTAGTCCCTCCCTGTCTCCCTCCCTCCCTAGAACCCTCGGCTAGCACCCTCACTCTCCCTCACCCTATGTTCCCCTCCCTTCCTCTCCTTATTTCATCTATAACCCTGCAAAGACAAGTTGAAGCATAGTTAACCCTCCAAAGAAGTAAGGAGAATGAAGAAGTGAGGAGTGAGGGAATGAGGAAGGAGAGGTGAGGGAGAGTAGAGGAGTGAGGGGGTGAATGAGAGATGAGGATAAAGAGCAAGTTAGGTTAAGGAAAAGAAATGAGAATTAGACGAAGGGAGAAATAGGGAGAGTGAGGGAGTTTGATCAAGGGTGAGGAGGGTGGATCAAGGGAGAGTAAGAGAGAGAGAGTGAGGGAGTTAGGGAGAGGGAGGGAATCAGGGAAGGAGTTAGGGAGAGGGAGGGAGTTAGGGAAGAGTCAGGGAGAGAGTCAGGGAGAGGGAGGGAGTTAGGGAGAGAGTTACACCAGAGTGAGTTGTGACGTCATTGATAACCGCGTGTGTTGTTCTCTGTTGTGTTCTTCCTCTTGACTTAATGTTGCCACAACCTCTTAATCTATCCCAGAGAAAAGATGGGAGAGCAATACACACGATGGGAACAGTCAACATAATGCTTTACTTGTTATAAAACTTATCCCAAAGAGTCCGTTTCCTGTTCGTTTGTTTATGTTGTTGTTGTTGTTGTTATTGTTGTTGTTATTCAATCTCTCTCCTCCCTTGTTTACTCTCCCTACATACGTCTCAGCTTAAGTGTGTGAGAGAGAGAGAGAGAGAGAGAGAGATTCGGCCACAGTTACTCACCGAAATACTTCCCATCATAACTTAAAGCGACAGTGTTACCAATGTCCTTAATGGCCATGACCAAACACGACACGAGACCCTTGGTAGTGCTGAATGTGTATATACCATGCCCCCCCTAAACCTAAACTAACTCACTACCTCTCTCTCTCTCTCTCTCTCTCTCTCTCTCTCTGGGGTGCCTCCTAGAGGGCCCTGATATTATCCGCCGCTGGTAAAAAAAAAATAAAAGAAAAAAATCACTGTAGAGATTTTTGGCAATGTGGCGTGAAAAATTACCTTGGATTGATTAAGACCTGCAGAGACTGGTTCCTGATCTGCCTCCCCATGACCACCACCTCCTCCTAGTCCTCCTCTCCTCCTCCTCCTCCTCCTCCTCCTCCTCTTCCTCCTCCCTCCTCCTCCTCCTCCCCTCCTCCTCCTCCTCCCTCCTCCTCCTCCTCCCTCCCTCCTCCTCCTCTCTCCTCTCCTCCTCCCTCCTCGTCCTCCTCTCCTCCTCCTCCTCCTCCTCCTCCCCCTATCTTCTCTCCACATTCCCTCCCCTCCCTCATCCATCACCTTTTCTCTCTTTCTCTCATCTCACATTTACTTCCTCCCTTCTCCTCCCTATCTTCCTCTGCTCTCCCCACCTCCTTCACCCCTCCCACCTTACTTCTCCCCCCTCCTCCCCCCCCCCTACTGTGGCCACTTGGCAGGTAGCAGCTCAGGTGAGAACCATCAGAAAAAACAGACAGAAATGCACACCTCATAGGTTTTAACAGGCTGCCACCTCCCTGTACTGTCCACCAGTCAACTCTCTCTCTCTCTCTCTCTCTCTCTCTCTCTCTCCTCTCTCTCTCTCTCTCTCTCTCTCTCCAAGTGGTGCTATCAGTCGCGATAGTAGCGGTGATAGTAGCAACGATAGTAGTAGTGATAGTAGCAGCGTTAGTAGCAGCGTTAGTAGCAGCGATAGTAGTAGCGATAGAAGTCGTGATAGTAGCAGCGATAGTAGCAGTGATATGTAGTGATAGTAGTAACGATAGAAGTCGTGATAATGTGGCGATAGTAGCAGTGATAGTAGCAGTGATGTGTGCGATAAAGATCGTAGTAGCGGCGGACGTGATAGTAGCGGCAAAATGGCGGACTAACATGATCACGGTGACTTTTACGTAATAACGAGGTTGAAAATATTTGTCCTAAGCAACTCCCTCACTCTTACCTCACCTCCTTCTCTCCTCCTCCTCTTACCTCTCCTCCTTCTCTCCTCCTCCTCTTACCTCACCTCATGTCTCCTCCCTCACTCTTACCTCTCCTCCTTCTCTCACTCCCTCCTCTTACCTCCTCCTTCTCTCACTCCCTCACTCTTACCTCACCTCCTCTCTCACTCCTCCCTCTCCTCCTTCTCTCCTCCCTCCTCTTACCTCTCACCTTCTCTCCTCCCTCCTCCTCACCTCCCTCTCTCACTCCCCTTACCCCTCCTCTTCTCTCACTCCCTCACCCTCACCCTCTCTTGCCTCCCCCTTCTCTCTCCCCTCTCCCTCTCCCTTTTCTCTCTCCCCCCTCCCTCTTCCTCTATCTCCCTTTCTCTTCCTTTATCTCCTCCTACATACATACCCCCCCTCCACCTCCCCCTTCCCCCCCCTCCTTCTCCGTCCCCCCCTTTATCTCCCTCTCCCTTTCATTTGGACTATTATCTGGAAGGTGTAAATAGGGAGAAAGTACAGGGTAAGGGAGAAAACGATTTAGGGAGAAAAGAGAAAGGATGAGTGTAAATAGGGAGGGAGAGAAGTGGAGAGGGAGGAAGAATGGTGGAGGGAGAAAGAATGTGGGGGAGGGAATGGAGAGGGAGGAAGGAGTGGAGGAAGAGAATGGTGGAGAGAAAGAATGGTAGTGGAAGGAGGAAAGAATGAGAAGGAGGAAGAATGGTGGGAGGAAGAATGGTGGAGAGGAGGACACACACACACACACACACACACACACACACACACACACACACACACACACACACACACACACAAGACAGTCTAGTGTGAGCCAGAGACAGACGGACACACACAAAAACAAACAATTAAAACAGACAGAACAGACGGTAAGACAGACAGACAAGAAAAGGTACCGAAAGACAGACACTGAAAAAGATGTATGAACAGACAGACAGACAGACAGACAGTCAAAGTGAAACATACAGAGAGACAGAGACTTAAATAGATGGAGGGACACGGAGATCGAGAATTAAAAGAGACAGAGAGACAGACAGACAGACCAGAAGGATGGACCCGAGGACACTGGGGCGAGGACTTACGAGGTGATCTGCCGTGATTAAAACATAAATAGACTCAGTGACGCCCAGGCAGAGGATGTGTGTGGCGCCGGGGATGTGTTAGCAATCACGTCCACATCCCTAAACACCTCCCCGCAGTACATCCTCGCCACCAGTTGGACATGATGGTATTCACGTTCGCATCGTCAACACCCCCCTCCCAGCACCTCCTCGCACCTCCCAGCACCTCCAAGCACCTCCAAGCACCTCGTCGCACATCCCAACACCTTCCAGCACCTTCAGCATCTCCCAGCACCTCCAAGCACCTCCCCTCCTCCACACCTCCCACCTTCAATACTAGGATTCTCCCCTCACTGGTTTACGGAGGTCGCGTTATAGAAGGTCTAAATGCCGTTGTAGAGGTCAGTACCGTTGTAAGAGGTCTAGTACCGTTGTAAAGGTCTAGTACCGTTGTAAGAGGTATAGTACCGTTGTAAGAGGTCTAGTACCGTTGTAAGAGGTCTAGTACCGTTGTAAGAGGTCTAGTACCGTTGTAAGAGGTCTAGTACCGTTGTAAGAGGTCTAGTACCGTTGTAAGGGGTCTAGTACCGTTGTAGAGTCGAAATAGTGTTATAGGAGGTCAGTCTGTTAAAAGAGTTAGTCGCATTAAAATAGCTTTTGTGTTGTTCATAGCCAACGTATTTAAGAGGTCAGAAAAATTCCAAATTATCGAATACATTTTCTTTCTTTTTACAAATTGAATGTGTCTAAGTGTTGGACGATTTAAAATGACACTATGTAATATATCCAGATTTTGGCCGATTTCGAAAGTCTTTATTGTGATATCCTCAGATTTTGGCCGATTTATGATGTCTAAATAGTGTTATGTCTCTCTCTATCTCGGCAGATTTAATAACCCTATTTATAATGAGTTCCAGATTTTGTTTTCTCCTACAGATTTAAAACTAATATCTCATTCTTTTTGTGTGTGTGTGTGTGTGTGTGTGTGTGTGTGTGTGTGTGTCAGTCATTGAGAGATTGAGGCCACCGGTATGTCCTGTTGATTACTCTTACAGGTGATGTGTGTTTATGGTCGCTTACAACACAACACCTCGGCCGGTCCTGCACGTAACACCGTTTACTTGTTCTGTGTTCGGGGCTTTGGCCACTTTAGGGTTCACATCAGGGGTTCATTTAGGAATTCATGTCAGGGGTTCATTTAGGGATTCATGTCAGGGGTTCATTTAGGGATTCGTGTTATGGGTTCATGTTAGGGGTTCGTGTTAGGGATTCGTGTTAGGGATTCGTGTTAAGGCTTCATGTCAGGATTCATGTCGGGTTCATTTAAGGGTTCATATCAGGGGTTCAAAGCTGCCCACCTGGGGAACGACACTGAAGATGATCAAAACGCATCACGGACGAAGACGAAAGACAGTACGGACGAAGACGAAAGACAGCACGGACGAAGACGAAAGACAGCACGGACGAAGACGAAAGACAGCACGGACGAAGACGAAAGACATCGGACGAAGACGAACAGTACGGACGAAGACGAAGACAGCACGGACGAAGACGAAGACAGTACGGACGAAGACGAAAGACATCACGGACGAAGACGAAAGACAGTACGGACGAGACGAACAGCACGGACGAAGACGAAAGACAGCACGGACGAAGACGAAGACATCACGGACGAAGACGAAAGACATCACGGACGAAGACGAAAGACAGCACGGACGAAGACGAAAGACAGCACGGACGAAGACGAAAGACAGTACGGACGAAGACGAAAGACATCACGGACGAAGACGAAAGACAGTACGGACGAAGACGAAAGACAGTACGATCTAATTAACCACATTAAGAACATCGGAATGTTATCGCCTTGGTGGTCAACGAATAAGTTTCAGTTCGATATCCTCCAAGTGGTTAATGTGCCGATATCATACCGTTATCCACGAAGAGATTATATATTAACGTTATGATATCGAACGGGTGATGTGATAAATTTAAAATACCGATAACTTAACTCTGGAACTTTCTCTCTAACTCCAAGTATTTAATTTCCCGATATATTATGTTATTCTTTCTTCTATAAGTAAGATTTTATTGATATCTTTTGTTTTACGTTTAATAAAAGTTAATAATAATATTTTACTTACTCCACCGCGCCACCATCTTGCCCAGACATGCAGTGCCACTCTCCTCCCACCAACACAACCGAGATTCATTCTCTAGCGAAAAATAAACAAAAATAACTAAACTGTAAATACAAAAAATAAACCTATAAGACTATTTAATAGATTTAAGATCAATATTAACATAGATTTATACAATATTTGGTGTTATTTATTACAAAGTCGAGTAATGGTGTTAAAGTTGATTTTTTTTTCTCAGATGAACAGATGATTTGAATCCCATGACTTCATTACCCGTCAACTGTAGAAATTCAAATATCCGTTAACTGAAATATAGCCGCCGTTAACTGAAATATAGCCGCCGTTAACTGAAATATAGCCGCCGTTAACTGAAATATAGCCACCGTCAACTGAAATATAGCCGCCGTTAACTGAAATATAGCCGCCGTCAACTGAAATATAGCCGCCGTTAACTGAAATATAGCCGCCGTCAACTGAAATATAGCCCCAGTGAAATAAATAGCATTATATAGATCGAAAAAATAACCATCTCATCCAACCAACAAATGCCATTAGACAGTCTTAAGGAACACACACACACACACACACACACACACACACACACACACACACACACACACACACACACACACACACACACACTGCCTCTAATATGATTATTCTTCTTCTTTCATCTTCCTTCTTCCTTCTCTTCTTCCTTCTTTCCTTCTCGTGCTTTTTCGTCTCGTCTTTATGCTGCTCCATGCTTTTTTCTCTTCCCCCTTTATCTATTATGATTCGTTCTTTCAGATCTTTCATTATTTCCATCACCTTCAACTCTCTTTCTTCCCCTTTCATCCTTCCTTTCCTCTCTTTCCCTCCACCTTCCTCCCTTCCTTTCCTTCCTTCTTGGGGGCTTTTATCCACCTTCCTTCCATCCTTCTTGGGAGCATTTATCCACCTTCCTTCCTTCCTTCCCTCTTGGGGTATTTATCCACCTTCCTTCCTTCCTTCTTGGGGGCATTTATCCACCTTCCTTCCTTCCTTCCTTCTTGGGGGCTTTTATCCACCTTCCTTCCTTCCTTCCTTCCTTCTTGGGGGCATTTATCCACCTTCTTTCCCTCTTGGTGTCGTCTGGGCCGCCATTTTGTGGGCCCTGGGCAGATAGGATAACAGATTGAGTTTCCTGTTGGACCCTAAGACAGGCATTTGTGGTGGGGTAGTCGACCAAGTCTTCCCGACACTTTCCTCCTCCCGTCACACACACACACACACTCCTCCCGTCACACTCTCCTCTCGTCACACACTCCTCCCGTCACACTCTCCTCCCGTCACACACACACACTCCTCCTGTCACATTCCTCCTGTCACACACACACCTCCTGTCACACACTCCTCCTGTCACACACACTCCTCCTGTCACACACTCCTCCCAGTCACACTCTCCTCCTGTCACACTCTCTCCTCCTGTCACACACCTCCTCCTGTCACACCTCTCCTGGTCATAGAGAAGGAGGGACCCTGGGCCTCTTAGTGCTGATTTCTACGTGAGGGAGAACGCCTTTGAGAGTGAAGGTCTGTGTTATAAAAAGGAAGAGAGGAAGAGGAGGAGGAGATAGAGGAAGAGGAGGAGGAGGTGAAGGTAGAGAAGGAGGAGGAGTAGGAGAGATGAGATGAGGCGAAAGGAAGAATGAATAAAATTAAGGGAGAGGGAAGCAGAAAACAGATGAAGGGAAAGAAAGTGATGATTGGAGGAGAAGTCAGAGGAAGGGAGGGAGAGAGAGAGAGAGGAAGGAAAGAATCAGGAGACAGGCAAAGGGGAAGGAGGAAAGGAAGGAGGTAGGAAGGGAGAGAAGGAGGGAGGGATGGAAAGTAAGAGGGAGGAAGGGAGAGAAGGAGGGAAGGATGGATGGATAGGTGAGAGTGTGGGATACCAAAGGAGACGGGATGCACGCATGATTACCTCCCTCTTTTACACCTGCTAGACCTGACGAGAGAGAGAGAGAGAGAGAGAGAGAGAGAGAGAGAGAGTGAGTATAGTATAGATTCTGGCCGTCGTTACTATATGAATACTTCACGGTGATTGGTGAACTGTTTTCCGCCAATCACAGGTGCAGGAGGCGAGGAATGAGTCGAGTCCTTCTCCTGGTGGTGGTCTGAAGTGACTCCTTAACTCAGGTCTTTGGGCCACTAGAGTCACTTATTCGGGCCACTAGAGTCACTTCTTCGGGGCCACTAGAGTCACTTATTCGGGCCACTAGAGTCACTTATTCGGGCCACTAGAGTCACTTATTCGGGCCACTAGAGTCACTTATTCGGGCCACTAGAGTCACTTATTCGGGCCACTAGAGTCACTTATTCGGGCCACTAGAGTCACTTATTTTTTTTTAATTGTCTCAAGTTTGTGTAAATGTTTCCATATTTGTTTAAATGGAAGAGTTACAGTAACACCTCCATATAACGGATTTTTTCTACATATAACGGATTTATTCTACATATAACGGATTTTTGTCTACATATAACGGATTTATTTCCATATAACGGATTTCTCTCTCTTACCTAAACCTGTGTTAATGAAACGTAGATTAGCTTAAGCTGACTTGTTGAACGTCATAATCCTAACCTAATCCTAACCTAAATCTAACCTAACCCCCTAACCAAACGTAACCAAAACCTAACCTAACCCAATGTATTCTAACCTAACCTGTTTATGATGAAGGTGCGGTGTTGCGTGAAATTTATCCAGTATCAAATGTCACGTGTGGACAAGAGTTGCAGCTTCCCTTCCGCCGGCGACAGTGGGCGTGGGAAAGTGGTGAAGGGTGGGAGAGGGGCGTGAAGGAGGAGAAAGTAAGAAGGAAAGGAGAAGTAAGGAAGGAAAGTGAAAAGGGGAGATAAAGAGGGGGAGGAAAGTGGAAGAGGGGGGTAGATAAAGGGAAGGAAAGTGGAAGGGAGGTGATAAAGGGGGGGAGGAAAGTGGAAGGGGGGAGATAAAGGGAGGGAAGGAAAATGGAAGGGGGAATAAGGGAAGAGAAGGAAAGTGACATATGGAAGGGGGTGAAGTAATTAAGGTCTTTCAGTAGCGGTAATTTAATGATGATGATGATGATGATGATGATGAGAGATATTGAGTAAGATAGATAATGAGAGAGACAAATAATTACAGAGAATAAGAGAGAAAGATAAAGAGAAAAGAGATGGACAGACAGACAGACAGACAGATGGATGGGAGTAGACAGAGTATTGTGTTGATGTGTGTGTGTGTGTGTGTGTGTGTGTGTGTGTGTGTGTGAAGACGTCAGGTTGTAGTCAGAACACTTACGCCACACATTTCACATCTGACATCCACCGCTATCCATACACACACACACACACACACTAACGTATGCGTCACCAGCCTGGTCGTCTTCTCTCAACTCCACCCAACAACGTCAGCTAGAGAAGGTACAGAAAAGGCCTGCAGAATCATGCTTTGCGCAGAATACTCCGGCTACACCAATGCTCTCTCCACCCTGGAAATGCAATCCCTCAGTGACCTCCACCACCAAGCACTGGAAAGGTTTGGCAGGGGACTACTGCACCACCCTCTTCATCGCCACCGCCTGCCACCTGCAGCCCCCCACCCACCTCGCGCAGTCCGCCACTACAACAAAATTCAGCCCATAAGAGCCCGCACCGATAGATATAAGAACAGCACCATCCCATCTATTGTTAAAATAATAAACAACTCCTGATTTATGTACTGTACAGCCCTGTAAATGTATTCACTGCATATTATATCATTATGTCTAAATCAAATGTAAGTCTGTATATTTTCAGCCACCGCTACAACTCTATTAATAAACCGTTTATTATTATTATTATTACACACACACACACTACCCTCCCGCCTCCTCCACCTACGAACAGAATCTCTACCCCATCCTCATCCACCCCATCCCCCCCTCATCCACCCCCACATCCCCCCCACCCCCCCTCATCCACCCCATCCCCCCCTCATCCACCCCATTCTCCCCTCTTGTTTTGGGTCCTCCACACACCGTTAGTTCCCGTCATCCACCTCACCTAGACTGACATACACCTGGACAGTACAGGTAACTTGTTGTGTCCGTCTGTAATTCATGATGACTTTAAACAACACAAAAGACTTTATTCTTTCTTGTCTGTCTGTCTGTCTGTCTGTCTGTCTGTCTGTCTGTCTGTCTGTCTATCTGTCTGTCTTAATGGGAGTCTAATTGATATTTTGTTTAATTTCAGGTACGTTCAGGTGGAGAGACGGCCCGACCTATACTGTGGTGGTGAGTGTGTTGTGGTGAGTGTGTTGTGGTGAGTGTGTTGTGTGGTGGAGAGTTCCTCAGTATACTTAACCTAACCTAAACCTAACCAAAACCTAACGTAACCCAACGTAGTTTAGATAGAGCATTGAACGAGCAAATAAAACCAACTTGTTAATTGTTAGGTCGTAAATACTGAGTCATTAACATTCCTTAGGACGAGATTTAAGCAGAGAGAGATAGGGTGAGACAGAGACTGAGATGACTAGGTTGAGAGAGAGACAGAGAGAGAGGAGGGGGAGAGATAGAGAGAGAGAGGGAAAGAGAGTTTAGAGAGAGAGGAAGAGAGAGTTTAGAGAGAGGAGTGGAAGAGACTGAGCGATAATAGAGAGGGAGACATAGAGAAGGATAGACAGAAATAGAAGAGAGAAAGAAGGAGAGAGAGACAGAAAGAGAGAACAAGAGAGAGGTTTGAGATAATGAGAATTAGCGTGGTAAATTCCCCTTACCTGTCAAGTCTCCGTGGATGAGAGTAATGGTGTGATAAGAACGGGTGTGGTGGTGTGGTGGTGG